GCTTCTCCTTGAGCGTGGGGCAGACGTGAATGCTCAGGGTGGCCATTATGGCAATGCACTACAAGCAGCCGCATTGGAGGGAAGCCAATCGATTGTGCAGCTTCTCCTCGATTGTGGGGCAAAGGTCGATGCGGAGGGTGGCCGTTTTGGCAATGCAGAAAGAGCAGCTAAAGTATATCATCGTGAGTCGATTGTGCAACTTCTCATAGCACACAGGACAAAATCCCAATCTACCATTTCGGCAGCATGATACAGGTAGAACAACTAGCTGGGGACTTTCAATTTTTCAACTACTCGATCATCGTATTTCTCCAACGGCCGCCAATTCTTGAAGTTGTGCCTTTCCGATACCTTATTTTCTCCATCTTTCTCTTACCATCCTTTCACATGAATACTACGAAAAACCCAGCTCCTACGCTCAACCTCCGCACTCCCGGCAGTCTATCACTCCACGACCGTTTTCTCGATTACCCACCCCGAAAAAATGACCGTTTATTTCCTAAAACGTATCTGTTCGTTCGCCGTTCGCTACTCTGTTTTTTTCGCCGTTCGGGAAAGTGCTTTGATCGCGGAAGTATGCGGGTCGAAAGGATGGTGGAAGGAAGGAAGGCACCAAGGAAAGCGGAAGGCCATGAGGAGGGCCTAGAGGCTAGAGAGCCGAAGTTTGTATTTTCTTTGTTAGCTTTTCTTGTTTGCTCATTTGTGGGAGATGTATCTGAAGGATGAGGGGGGTGTAAGGACTTTGTGGTCTTTTGCGTCGTTGATATATGTTCGTGTCTTTGCTGTCGGTTAGCCGGTTGGTTGAGGGATAGAGAGTGCGCGCGGTAGTTAGGGAGGTTGGCGAGCTGAAGGGGTTTTCTCCCCTCGCTGTGAATTGTGCGATCGCTTCACGTGAGTGAGCTCGGCCTTGTTTCCTTTCACGGTCTAGCACTCGTTCGTTTCATATCGCCGTTTCGTACCGTTGTTCGTTCGTTCGTTCGTGATATCGTGAAAGCCCCCGCCGATCCGCCGCCGTCTAAAAGTTCCGGAACCGGCCAGAAGGGATGAAAAGCGTTTGGGAGAGGAGGGAGTTATCAAGCTGAGTTACCAATTCATTTTTTATCTAGTCTTGTCTCAGAGTCTACCGGAGCTTCTGAGCTCCCCTTCATTCTTCCCTTCATTCTTCCCTTCACTCTTCCTGTATTTCCTTCACCCTCCCGTTCTTCCATTTTTTCGGCTAAATAAGGCCATAGTCTTAGGTTCATGGAGGGGGCTGGGTTGCAGGAAATGGTGCCCTCTTTATTCTCCGGGATGGATTGTTTGTGGTCTTGTTTTCTCTGCTTGCTCTTTCCTTTTTTTTTTTCTCCAACGCATCACCCTACCAACACTTTATCAATACATTAATTGTTGGGACTGGTCCCAAGAGTATGATAGTCCATTGAATATTTCGATCCTAATACTGAAAAGGGATAGATCGGGGTGGGAAAACCGAACACCTAAAATGGGTAAGCTTCACTCACTTACAAATCGAACAGGCAAATCCAGCCTTAACACAAAAAAAAAAGATTCTGAAATAGATCTGTATCAATTAAATTGGTGCGAAGAAAGGAAAGAACAAACATAAAGGTAAATTACCAAACGTAGATGCAAACTTCGTAATCCTATGGTGTCTTTGTTTCTCGTCCACAGGTTCGTTCTTCGTTCTCCCTTCGCTTGCTTGACAAGGAAGGGAGGGAAATCCCCTTTCTCTTTCTGGTCTACAGCACATCACTGTGGCCAGTCACAATCAAACCCTAAAAAATCAAACAAAAACCTAACCACTTTGCAAAACCCGAGTTTTAGACAAAAGAAAGCAAACACATTTTCCCCCTACAGTACCAAGCTCCCTTCATGCCAATTTTGGCAATGACTATGAATTGATTGGGGGGGGGGGGGTGTTGTGATTGATTAGCCGGGAGTGAAAATGGGTGGACCCGACCTGACCCACGGCGGACAAAAGTTTGGCCCGGCGAGACTAAACCCAATAAACCACAACCCGATTCAATCAGGGGCCCATTGGGCCTCCATGTGACATGAACTAGGCACGTCATGGGACGGGTTAAACCGCGTTGCATGGAGGATAGCCTGCTATTTTTCCCCCTCGATTGTAGAGGAGCGAGGAGGGTTGGCGCTCAATGAGCAACTCTGGCATGAGTGGAAGAAGTTTAATCTCATTCTTACCCTGTAAATTCTGCCCGTAGCACTTTTCCCTATCCTCCTTGTTTATATTCAGGCATTAATCCCATAGACTTTTCAATCGAGTATGGGGCCTGCATCATGTGTCCTCTAACCACGATGACTCCTTATTAATTGGAGCAACCCGTGTTGGGCAAGCTCCCACCCTTTTGTGCGGAGGACCCAGGCTCCTTTCATTAGCATCACATAAGCCACCAGTGCCTATCAAGCATAGGCTTGATCACTTAGCAATTAGAAGGTAGATATTTTTCGGATTAGGGGCTTACGGGGTGCCAACCACAACCAGAATTCCCTAAGGAGACTATAGCGGTCCTATGCCTATGACGGTGGGAGTTGATTTTTCCGGGTTCGGCTTCTCGCTAGGTTTATATTCATAGAAATAATAGATTGGGGTCCAATTCGTGCCCTTTGTGCAACCGGGATCCGGGCAACCCTCACCGCGGAATTCGTAAAGCGGGAAATCCGGAAGCGAGCTTCAGGCCTGTAGGATGAACGGTGGACTTGGGAGAGGAGTCCAGGAATCAGGGAAAAGGCACACAGCTGTAGTTGATCGATTGAATCGCTCGGAAGCCCATCTCGTATCATTAATTCATCCCAGGGTTACTTGCCAGGGGTCAAACCAGTAGTGGATAAATGGTGAAAGAAAGCGAGATTTCTGGAGCGCAAGCATGCCAGGTTAAAGGAGGCTTTTTTGTGCCCAGTATCTGATAACAAACTTTGGAGAGATCGCGAGCAATCAATAGCAATAATTAGTAGCTCACACCCAATGACTTTCCCTATAAACAACCACAAAGTGACTTCTGAGGATGATACCTGTGCCGCTATATTTTATTCGCTATTTCTGTAGAACAGACGGTTTCGAAAGCAGGGTGAAAGAATTGGCCTTAAGTAAATTGCAGTAGCGTATTGATATAGGACATCCTAGCCCATATCTCAGTCGAGCAATGACGAAGAAAGTCGCTTTTGTGTGCTGTCTTCCAAGGGATCGGGGCTTCGTTGGATTGACCTCGCTTCTTCCTCGACCAGGATGGAAGACCACTCTTGCTTAAATTGGGCTAGGTCTGAGCTCAACCGGCTCACACACTCAGTGGTGTTTTCCCCTAGGGCTATTGTTTTCGCAACGGGAGCGGTTATGCATACCTAAGAGCATCAAAAGGCCTATTCCCAGGTGGATGGAGGCCAGTCGAATTCTGTAACATAGGGTGGTTTCTCAAAGTGCTACATAGCTTCCACCCTAAATTAAAAGCAGTCTTAGAATATCACTCGTTCTGAATTTTTCAAATGTTGGTTTGGTAAATGTAAAATAAACCCCTTACCCCATTAATACCCGGAGCACCAATCCGGCACATAACTAGGTAAATCCCTCCAATACCGTTACTCACGGGACGAAAACAGACAGCAATAACTCATAACCTGTTTGCACATAGGCACTAACATGACATACCCTGATCCCAGATTAATACTGCTTCCCATCTCGCAACCCAACAATCAAACAAAGCAACCGGCACCCAAATTACTTATGGCTGGGCGGCCGCCGGGAACCCATCGGGCGTAGCTGATCTTCGGGGATGGCGACTTCCGCCTGCCTCTATCACCACCGATCTCCCACAGAAAGCGGCGGAAACTCCGAACGGATATCGTCGGGCATTTGTCCCCGGGAATTCGTCTGCAGGTGTTCTCCGAGGTGACTCCGCTTGGTGACAGGGCTCCCCACAAAACATTTGCTCCCATCTGCGACACGGTTTTGTGATCACCAAGCCAACCAGTCAATACTAGTACACGCCGCGCAGTCACTCTATGAATCTTGCCCTTTCAACCAAACCGCTCCCTCTAATTAGACTATGGGTAGTACGAACGGTATCC